TGTGTCTGTGTGTGTGTCTGTGTCTGTGTCTGTGTCTGTGTCTGTGTCTGTGTGTGTGTGTGTGTGTGTGGGTGTGGGTGTGTGTGGGTGTGTGTGTGTGGGTCTGTGTATGTCTGTGTATGTCTGTGTGTGTGTGTGTGTGTGTGTGTGTGTGTGTGTGTGTGTGTGTGTGTTTGTGTATGTGTGTGTGTGTGTGTGTGTGTGTGTGTGTGTGTGTGTGTGTGTGTCCTACAGCAGTTTGACGGTGTGGGCTGTAACGGTACGTCGTCCTCCCTGATGGTGACTCAGGACTATAATGCACTGAAAGAGAACGAGATCTGCGTCACGCAGGGTGAGACTGTGCAGATACTGGCCACTAACCAGCAGAACATGTACCTGGTGTACCGACCCGCTAACAGCCAGTCGCCGGCCGCGGAGGGCTGGGTGCCAGGACACATCCTGGGCCCCCTCGCTAAACCCCTCATAGACACTACTGCAGACTCAAACATCAAGTAAGTGTCAATCAACACTAACTGGAGCTCTGATTGGATTGTGTAAGACTGCACGCCCGTTTTTGAACACCCCCATCCCATTCTGTTGGATCTAACCCGGATGTTTTGGACCCTTTTGCACAGGAAGTTTTGATTTTCTTCTTGAGCTTTTTTTTTTTCTTGGCTAAAAGTTAAAAACAAAGACAGATAAATGTTGAAAGGACTTTAGCGAAGCCACGGTGTTGTTGTTTTGTAGACTGAGGATTTGTGAAGAATCTTACATCAGTGTGGAAACGGACACGTCTGGACATTTATTTCAGTTCCTAACACCCTGTTTTTGTTGTTTCTATGTTTTTTTTTTTGTTGTTGTTATAATTTGTGTGAAAAGAGAACAAAAAGTGAAAGAAAGGCCTTCTGAAGAATTTGGCCGGTTTCTCCTGATGGAGAGCATATACTGTTGTCTATGGCAATTTTTTTTTATAGGTTGTGTATTTGTTTTAATTGTATTTTTGTATAGATTTTTTTTTCTTTTGTTTCTTCTACAGGATCACATGTTGGCCATTTACTGTAAATACTGTTGGTTTGTTGACTGTTTGTGGCACATTCCTGTAAAGAGCTTTTTGCACTATTTAAGTGAACCTTTATTAATAAAGTCAGGTTTGTGCAATAGAACTACAGTTGCAATGTTGTAGTGTAACTAATGATTTTAAATGTATTATATTAAATATGTAAAATAAAATTTTGACATGCGCATGACACCACAAATACATTGTTTTATTTTTGTTTTCACAATTTCACAAAGTATAATAATTCCAAGTAAATGGTAATAGTACATTTTAAGAAATCCATTTTGTTTAGCGTGTGAAAGTGGTGCACCTTATTTTGATTTATTTCTTTAATTTGTTTCATTTTGTAATGTAGTGTGTAGAAGACTTATTTTGTGTTTGTACTAACCTCTCCGGTCCTTGACAGTAAAGGTTTGTGTGTGAAACAGTGTTAGCTGTGAATAATATGAACGACTGCTGTTCTCACACAAACCATGTGTCCACCATGGTGTAAGGATATAGCTTTATAGATTAGATTTATATACATAGACTACTGTTCTAAATTTTGGAGTCTGTAAGATTTTTTGGAAGAAGTCTCTTATGCAAATCAAGGGTGCGTTTATTTGATCAAAAATAGAATTACAACTGTATCATTGCAAATTATTATTATCATCACAGTTTAAAATAACAGTATTCGATAACACTTTACTTAAAGCCTTTTTGTATAATGCATTATAAAAGTAGTTTTAAATAATGCACCTTATCATGCATTGTACAATCTCATGAATAATTGTAACCACAGTTAATACATTATAATACTTATCAATTCATTGCTACACTATGCGTTTTAAATTCAGTTATAATTATTTACAACAAGATATAATGTATTACAATGCACTTTATGAATAATTAGAATGCATTATACTCTTTAATAACCCTTTATAATGCATTACACACAATATAAATGTCTTTATCGTAATTTCTGATCAATTTAATGCACCATTGCTAAAAGTATTAATTTCTTTAAAAGATAGATAAATAAAGAAACAAACATCCGTCTTACTGACCCCAAACTTTTGAACGGTAGTGTTTTAGATATAATGCAAGAACTGATTCTAGAGTACTAAATATGATCAAACAAAAAATCAGTTATGCTTGTGTGATTCTGAAATGCAGTGTGTTGAAGTATTTGTACTTTCTGAGGTCTCTGGAAATGGATGATAGATACTCCATACATTTTGCTAATGTTAAAAATAGGTTAACGGTATCGAGTGTCTTGCTTTTTCTTTTTGTGGACCCTCCTATTTCCCTGCTGAGAACATTTTTCCCCTCAAGCACTTTAAGTTGCTTTTCCTCGCTGTTAAGATTTGCATTTCCTCCAGCGTATGTGGGTTTGATGTGATGAAACTTGATGTTTTGACACAACAGGAAATCTCTCTCGTGGAACACGCTTCGTGCTCGCAAGCGTGCAGAGAAGGACAGTGCGCCCCTCAAAAGTGACATTAAAGTTGAGAATGGACTGCGTAAGCCAAAGGAAATTCTCAGCAGCAAAGTCACTGTGAAAGTGAGTAGGAGGATGAGGGTGTGTGTGTGTGTGTGTGGCTGTGTGGCTGTGGCTGTCTGTGTGTCTGTCTGTGTGTGTGTGTGTGTGTGTGTGTGTGTATCTGTGTCTGTGTGGCTGTGTGTGTCTGTGTGTCTGTCTATGTGTGTGTCTGTGTGTCTGTCTGTGTGTCTGTCTATATGTGTGTGTGTGTGTGTGTCTGTGTCTTTCTGTGTCTGTGTCTGTGTCTCTGTCGGTGTGGGTGTGTGTGTGTGTGTGTGTGTGTGTCTGTGTCTTTCTGTGTCTGTGTCTGTGTCTCTGTCGGTGTGGGTGTGTGTGTGTGTGTGTGTGTGTGTCTGTGTCTTTCTGTGTCTGTGTCTCTGTCTGTGTGGGTGTGTGTCTGTGTGTCTGTCTATATGTGGGTGTGGCTGTGTCTTTCTGTGTCTGTGTCTCTGTGTCTGTCTGTCTGTCTGTCTGTGTGGCTGTGGCTGTGTGTGTCTGTCTATGTGTGTGTGTGTGTGTGTGTGTGTGTGTGGTGTGTGTGTGTGTGTGTGTGTGTGTGTGTGTGTGTGTGTGTGTGTGTGTGTGTCTTTCTGTGTCTGTGTCTGTGTCTGTCTGTGTGGCTGTGTCTTTCTGTGTCTGTGTCTGTCTCTGTGTCTGTCTGTCTGTCTCTGTGTCTGTGTCTCTGTCTGTCTGTCTGTCTGTCTGTCTGTCTATCCTCACCTGTGTGGAAATGAACACATCACTCACCCCACTTGCGTTTGTCCAATGACAGCATGACACTGACAGTCACAAACAATTGTTCAAATATGAGCTTTTTTACATGTTTTGCATTGAAAAGTTGAATGATTACTGCATAATCTGCTAACAATTTAAGAGTAATACAAGTACGTGTCACACTTAAAATATAAAGGTTAGGTAGGGTTTGTTTGTTTTTACCCCAATATTTCAGTCTTAGTTTTTTTTTTTATAATCTCAATTATATAGTAAAATGTATTTAATAAAATGTATTATTATTATTAGTAGTAGTAGTATTCTTTGGTAAAATGCCACAGTATAAAAGTTCAATTTTCTTAACATAAGGATTGTTGTCTTCCTGTCATTTTGGCCTGGAATTCGCCGTCCCCCTGTGTTTCTGTAAGTGTGTAACATTCTTCTCTCTCAATCCAAACCACAGGATACCCGCAGCTCGGATGAGTCCGATTGTGAGGATGAACTAGACCCCAAAACTAGTATGGAGGTAGAGATACTGATCTCGATGCATGCTGCCCAATAAGATTTGTATTTATTCATTTTTTTTTGTAATTATTATTTTATAATAAACTGAAGTTATTAGTAAATAGATATGATTTTTAAAGCTCTAATCTAAAGAAATGTCTAAACCTCTTTTTACACGAGTGTTGTTTTTATTTGGCCTACGTTGTTGTTTGGTAAGTTTTTATTTTAACTAATTGTGTGGAGTGACTTGCATTTTCACACCAAGGACAAAAACTATAAAGTTTTCATAATCATTCAAATTCTATAAAATCAAGTAAGTTCACACCACACCTAAAATAAAATCACTTTCAGACTTCACTTTCATCATTCACACATCAGAATAAATTAACCATATCACACACTCATAATGAACAATGTTAATATCAGATATCGTCTGGTATGGCTGCTAATGTAGTTATTGTTTTAGTTACCTGTATATCTATTGTTCTTGGTGTGAATGGGCCTTAACCCCAGTGTAAAGCTTTTGGCAATGTTCAGAAAGAAATACTGAATTAAAATCTTAATTCTTACTGCATATCCAGCACTGAAAAAAATAAATAATAATAATAATAATAATGTAGGATTTACTGAAATTAGGATAAAATCTTTTTTGGTTGCTCTAGAACAGAAAGACCAGATGAGGCCTCTGTCAGAAAGAGGACTGGCTCTTATAACTGAAAGATGGACAGCCACCATATTACATGCTAAAAATATATATTTGTGGTTGATATTTTTAATTCATCACACTGGAAATCCAAGGTCAGTCAGAGCACATTGTGTTTCTGGAAATCACAAGCTGTGTGCTCTGGATGCATGTCTCTGATTTTCCCAATGCATTTGGTCTGGATTCAGGATTTGACATACTACACAATTATAGCACACCGCAGAAACGGTGTTAGAAGTATGCTAGAATGCTATTTTGAACATACACAATGGCTGAAATCGAAATGGCATGCTAACATGCAACACTTACAATTCCCCCATATCTTAATATGGAAAAAATAGTACAAGTTGTATGTCATTTCAAATACAGCCAGTGTCTATCATGTCATGCGATGGTATTGCCCTCTGTTGGCTTGTGCTGACATGACACAACATAAAACTTCCTCCTTTTTTTGTAGAGTCCTATACATTCAGTATATGACTCTCTGTCTAGAATGCTTAAAGGATGCACATGTAACACTCATCTGTCTGTTTTGCAGTTACTGAACCCTAATTTCATCCAAGATGGTGAGTTTATTAATGTACAGATGTTGCGTTGTTTAGTTTGTTTGTATTTTCTGCTAGTGTATACTGTGATCATACATATGTCACCTGTAGCTTGTATTAGAAATGGAATGAAATCTGTCCTTGAATGAAGTGAGATGAAAGAGAAGATCCATCAGAGTGACATTGTGCGGTGTATTGATGTACAGTGGCTCCGGAGTTCCTGACGCCTCTAGCGGACGTGACGTGTGCTCTGGGGGAGACAGTGGTCCTGTGCTGTAAAGTCTGCGCTCGACCCAAGCCCACAATCACCCTGAAAGGACCCGATCAAAGTCTGCTGGTCAACAATAACCGATTCACGATCAATATCAGGTACAAATCCACAATCAGTCACAATGCAAATCTGTCACTGGGCCAGTACCTTGACAGAAGGTACACCTTTGTACTTATTTACCTCTAAAGGGGGCATATTAGTACCTCAAAGGCACATTTCTACCTGTGTATATATTAGTACTAGTGCTGTCAAACGATTAATCGCGATTAATCGCATCCAAAATTAAAGTTTTTGTTTACATAATATAGATACAAACGTGTTTGTATTTATTTATACATAATAAATATACACAGTATACACACACACATTATGTAAACAAAAACTTGTATTTTGGATGCGATTAATCGCGATTAAATCGTTTGACAGCACTAATTAGTACTCAAATGATACGTTAATACGGGTACCTTTTGAAAGGGTATTGCCCCAGAGACAGCTTTGTAACTGAGTGTATATTGCAGTATGCTTGCTTTCAGGAAAGTGTTGAGGAACAAATAAATGTTTTACATTCAAGTTCAGATCATGTCTTCAGAATTTATTTTGTGGGAAAACAGTACCCATGTAACCTCGGACGTTTCATTGTAATGTAACTGTCGCATGATTCCTCTGGAGGTTGTTTTTTCTTTGCCACTGTGCCATTGATTGTGGTTCTCAACCCACCTATACAAAAGCACTGTACAAACAAAACACGGTTTGTAATTTGTTCACTCCCCACCCAATGCTAAAAAGATAAGTAGCTTCAGAAATAAAAACAAAATCTAACATAAAGGCAGCCTGGGTAAACACAAAACACCGTAGGAGTAATTAATTCCCCAAATCTATGAAACTGCATTCATAATGGTGTTCAGTTGGACTAAACGCAACCAACCTGTTCAATACACCTTTTTCAACTGCATGAAGTTTGTTAAAACGTATTTATTTTCCAGTAACACACTAAAGGTGAAAGAAATTCCAAAAATGATAAGGAAGAAGGTGATTGAAATCAAGGAAGGGTTGAAAAGCTATTTCAAAGACTCTTGAAATCTAAAGACCAAAAGTGAGAGCCATTATCTCTAAATGGGAAAAAACTCAGCACAGTAGCGAACCTTCCCCGAAGTGGCCGACCTTCCAAAATTCCTTCGAAAACACAGCGAAAACTCATCAAGGAAGTCATTAAAGACCCAAGGACAGCATTGTAGGAACTGGAGGCCTTTCGTGCACCAATAAAGGTCACTGTTCTCGACTCCACTAACCGAAAGACACTTACTGAAATTGGTGTTCATCGACAAGTGTGAGGCAAAAACCACTGCTAATGCAGGAGACCTTTTGGGAGAGTTGAAAGTGGAACTTTTTAGAAGACGGGTTACATCTGAAGTAAACCAAAAACTGAATTACACACACACACACAAAAACCCCATCATACTTATACAGTCAAGCATGGTGGTGGCAGTGTTCTGGTGTGGAGATGTGTTGCTTGTGCCTGGGCAACTTGCAATAATTGAGGGAAACGTGAATTCTGCTCTCTACCAGAAAATCTTAAAGGAGAATGTACGGTCTTTTGAAGTTGAATCTGAAGTAGTGAGTGACGTGACATGTGGCCAAGTATGGTGACCCATACTTGGAATTAGCGCTCTGCATTTTAACCCATCCAAAGTGCACACACACAGCAGTGAACACACACACCCAGAGCAGTGGGCAGCCATTTATGCTGCGGTGCCCGGGGAGCAGTCGAGGGTTCAGTGCCTTACTCAAGGGCACCTCAGTCATGGTATTGAAGGTGGGTGACAGTGCTGTACATTCACTCCCCCCCCCCCCCCCCCCCCCCCCCCCCACCCCCC